CTGCCGTACCAAGGAACCTGCACCTCTCCCCTGTTCCCTATTTGCACACTGTGGCTCAGTTGTCCTCACTGGTGTCCATGCCTCGCTGCAGCCTTCATCCTTCAGTGGAGAGAGAGAGCAGGAGAGATTTCAGATCCATAACCAAATTATAACCTAGGAACTTTATGCTTGTCATGCTAATTTAATGACTTTTATAGTAAGTGTAGACTTTCTGTCTTTTGAAATTAGCTCTTCAAAATGCTTTGTGTAATGACAGACACTAGACATAAGAGACAAATGCACAAGCAATAGTGGGATAATAATCTGGCAAACACTGTGCCATTTAATATTAGGATGGAAAAGGAAGTAAGCACATCACAGTGGAGATGTTTGTCACTAGGACTGTTGGTCCCCGTCTGTGCTTCGGACTGCCCCAAAATGAGCATGATGTGGCATTTCAGTGTGATGACCCTTTCTTTGCTTTCTTTCATACACATATTCGAGGGCTGTGAGCAGCCTGGTTTGATTGGGCCGTACCTGGGCCCAGCCCCTTCGCTCGGATCCCAGAGGGGCTGTATGTGTGGTGCTCGTATGTGTGGCCCTGAATGTACGGATCACCTCCATTCTTCAGAGCACTTCTGTGCTCCCACGTTGTGAGTGGTCCACAAAGCTGCCCTAGAGCTGGTCCTGATAACAAAGGGAGGGATAAACCCCAAGCTATGGGTGTACTGCAGTCTGGGTAACTCTCTCATTGCCTATAATTGTAAATAAGGGAAGTTCACACGACGATCGAGTGACGAGGGAACAAGAGGCCCTTTTTAATCAGGTGGTTATCTCTCCTTGGTGGAGATCAGAGCTCCATCGCTCCTGGCCTTCTCATTGTGTCCCCCCTGCTGGAAATGACAGCTCCTTCAGAAATAAGCAACTTGGTCCCTGGATGGGATTTCAGCTCCTTTGCACTACACATGTACCAATTGTGATCTTACAGCTACGGCGAAGCCTCTAAATTATATACGTGTATAAACTCGGCCTCATTAAATCCCTCCTTTTGGATAGCCTCAAGGTTGTAGAGTATATTACTGTAAGCCAGAGGAGACTTAAATTATATCCAAATGGGGATTGATATGTAGTGGTACTTAAGCACACTTCTTGTCTCAGCTACAGAGGTTTCATTTTTTTCCCTTTAGAGTGTTATAATATTACAAATGCAACAGTTTCTCTGTGTCAAATCAAAGGATCTGAAATCCCGTTTCTTGATTCAGCCTGCAGGTCCCTTTGTGGTGGGGACAAAAACACAAAGATACGATCAAACGCTGCTGTCTGACCAAAGAGAACTTATCGCTCATCTGAGAGAGCTTCCTAATTTGAAGCTAAAGCCCTCCCCGAGTGCATGTGAGCTGTGCACTGCCTGTGTTGTTTTCTCGCGTGTGTGTGCAGCTAAACAGGGCTGTGCAGCACGGGACGGGGATTGAGAGCAGGGAAACCTCCCAGCTCTGCATCCCCTGCCACAGGTTGGTCCTTCCCATCAAAAAAAAGGAAAGGTTTTAGTGGAAAATCTGTGCCCATGAGGCTCTTTCTGCCATCCCTGTTTACATTGGGAGCCTGGGGCGCGGTGGGGGCTGGGGGGGCTCTGCCGAGTGTCTGTCCCCCTGCAGGTCAGCTCCGTGGTCCCTCAGCCCGGCACTGCCCTCTCTGCCCGGTGGCGCTCATTTCCCCGCACAGCTCCAACTCGATCTCTCCGAAGTTGGGGTTGCTGGGAGGGACTTGCCCGAACGCCCCCCACCCCCCCCATCCCTTTCCAGCACTGGCAGGAGGGTCAGTGGTTTAACCAGGCGTCACCAGGACTTCGTTTTATCCCCGGCCCACTGGAGCGTGTGGCTTTTAGTGACTGATGGTCACAGTTGCTCTCACGGTGCGTGCTCCAGATGGGCACGTCCTGGAGGCCGGGGAGGGGGGTGGGGTGGGGATGGAAGCTTGGTGGGGGAGGACGACACGGGTGCTTTGGTGAGGCCACGATGACACTGGGATTTGTTCTGGGTCACCCCCCCCCCAACGACAAAGTTGAGAAATTTCTCCAGCAGTGCAGGAGCGAGAGTGTGGGGGAAGGGGGGGGGGATGAGGGAGGGGAAGGGGGGAAGTGCTGGCAGAGCTGGGGTCAGTGTACCCCCCCCACCTCGCCCTGCACGTCATCCCCGCACACAGCCAGCACGTTCCCAAACTTTGAAATGACAAATCACGTTATTGCTGTGGCGGGAGGCTGCTTTCGGATCTGTGACAGCTGAGTTTTTCCTATCGATTATGTGACACTGCCGTTCATTTACACAGCTCAAAAGCTTAAAGCCACGGGAGGAGCCCCCAGTTGAACCCGAAATCCTAACAGAAAGCGAATCAACTTTCTGGCCGCTGTTTCAACTGATAGATCAGAACTTAATTCGGAGAGACAGAAAGGGAGAGAAACGACAGCACAGATTTATCTTGCCCTGCGTCTTCTGCTGAAACTTTAGAAACTGCGGCGTTGCAAACCCGGGGCCGAGATGCTAATGAGCGGCAGCGCGTCGTGTCCCCGCTCCTGTCATTTATTGCCGAGAGCGGATCGCGGCGCTCGGGGACCCGCGCGGGTGCGCGCGCGGAGCATCGGCCGCTCCGAGCTCGGTCCCGGCGCCTTTCGGGGAACGGGGGACACTTTGATCTCCCCCGCTCCCCGCCCCTTCCTAGGGATCCCTCCGTGCTGGGTCTGCTAGGGGCCCTCCAAGCGGCAGCCCAGCTCCGGGTTCTGCTGCTCCCTCCCCACCCCACCCCCCGTCTTCGCCGAGGTTTCATTACTTGCTGTTAGTGCCTGGAAACAATAAAGGATGTCGGACTGGGCTTTTATTGATTATTTGTCACCCTGTATTTGTCAGTTTCAATAACTTTTCCTGAAGTTTTACTTACGGGCACTTGAGCTTTCGGATTAGGCCAGCTCTGCGGATTGCAGCGAGGGGTAATTATCCGCCGGGCTGCTTCCCCGCGGCCGGGGGGCGACGAGCAGCAGCACGCTGAGCGGGCAGGATGCGGCCGGAGCTCCCCAGAGCGCTGCGGGGCCGAGAGCCGCCCCCCGCCGCCCCCCCTCCCGCGGCCGCCGCTCGCTCCCCACTTTGAGGCTTCCGATCCAAGCCCGGAGCCGGGGCTTGGTACTGCGGGACGGGCTGGGATGGGAAAGGGCTGAGCCTTCCCTCTGTCCGTCTTCCTTCCCTAATAACTTTCCTACATCTCCCAAGTGATGCGCGCTGCTCCATGCGTGCTCCGGCTCCGCACATTTGTAAGCACACGGAAGGCGAGCTCGCATAATCGCTGCCGGGCTGGCAGGGTGCCTATCGTGTACAGTGCGGTGTTTGATGTGCTGTATCTCGTAGCACGGCGAGCTCTGAGACAAGTGAACACAGAGTGCCCAGTTACACAGGATTTAATTACAGCGAAATGCATTCTCCATGCTGATTAGGAGAAAAATCAATCGGGGACTTATTTCCCACAATGAACCAATAAAAAAAAGAAACCCGAAACAATTTATTAGAGCAATAATCTCAGCCCCAAATGGTCTAAATATTATTGTTTCTATTGCACTGAGGAAATTCAAACTGAAAATGTTATATAGGGAACATCAGGGAGTCCTTTCCCATAAATCCAGCAAGTTTCTAACTGATTTCCAGAGGCCTGGTGATGGCTTAGGGGAATAGGGGCTGGGTTCCCCCATTTCAGGTCAAGTGTTGGCTTGCTACATCACCTACAGCTCTGGATGCTCTGTGGTCTGCAGCTGTCTGTGCCAAACCTAGCGTGAGCTTCCCACCACGGCTTACAGATTTCCTGCTTTCCAGTGATTTATACATGGAATTCCTAGAAGAGAGGAGGCCACACAAAAGATCCCCAAGCCACAGGCTGAGATAAATGCCTTGCTATAATGCAGCTAGCAAACCACCCCAAGATGTGCCAAAACCTTCCAGCTGGGACCGAGCAGGGAAGTGTCCCTGTGGAGGGTGCTGAGCTTTGAGGCCAGGCTGGGACATGGGGGGACAACAGGGGCAGCTGTGCCATCGTTTCTCCTCTCCCACATGGAGTTGCTGTCTGGTCTCAGCCGGACCCAAAGCTCTCCGGGGGCTCCTGGAAAGACAGGGGGTGCACAGGGGGTGCAGGTGTGCCAGGAGCCGTGGGGTCCTGGGAGCTGGAAGGCTGTGACTCAGGAGGTCCTGGTTTTGCTTTCCAGCTTTCTGTAACTCCAGTCATCTCCGTCCCGAACCGGAGGGGACCTCATTTCCTGCTCAGCACTCTGCCAACCACAAGGTCTTTTAGTAAGGCTGCCAGGGGTGCCTGGCTGCGGGAAGGACAGTCAGTGTTTGTCACCAGGGAGTGAGCTGGCATCATAGCTCTAATCTGAGTCAACAACCTGGCGAGCCCTGAGCATGACTTCATAAATCATGCTATCTAATTGAAAAGCACATGCTTGTATATACAGGGCTGTTGAAAAAGAGTGCAAAAAATAAAATGTAACAGACACTTCTGTTCTTCCCTCTGGCCTATTAATCAGCCACCTGATTGTTCCAACTTAGATTATTTCATGCAGAAAAAAAAGGGGAAAACGTGAAACCACCTTGTTTAGCCACAATGAAAGCACAAATGAAAAAATTCATCTCTTAAGGAGAGGCTTAGCCTTTGTCTAGTAATAGGAAAACAATCTCTAAGTGTTTTTAATTTAAATTGTTTTCACGGTTAATTCAAAACTGCTGAATGATATTACCACAAGTCTATGTATCTATTTGGCATTGAAGCATATGATGTTTCAGAGCAATTTAACCAGTTCTGAGTGGAGGAAAAGTCCTTTGCAGTCTCCGTATTCACTTTTTTTTTTTTTTAAATGTTGGTTGGTGCACACATGCTGGCCTTCCTTGTTCTCTTCCTTGTAGTGGAAATGAAAAATGAATGTGTGACAAAACAGCAGATGTGCGCGGTTTGCTTCTCACACACAAACCTGCGTTATTTTCCACCCACAGGAGCTGAGGCACTGTGTTGTGCCAGGGCCACCTCTGCAGACCCCTCGGCCACCTCAGCCCTGAGCATTGGCTGAACACATCTGGATATTTCTATTCAGCTCTGCAAACAGACAGAGATACTCCAAGACTGCGTGTGAGACCAGATGACGTGAAACTTTCTACCATTAAACCCCTGTTCAGCTGTAGTCCAGAAGCGGGCAGCCCACAGCAGCCTGGGGATGCTGACAGAAGGTTGGCCATCGGAAGCCCTAAGCAGGTTTTTCCCCACTAACACTGCGTGCTGGTCTGCACTCCCTTTCAGAAAGTGCTCTTTAGGTATAGGAACAATCGAAAAATTTGCATAAAAGCTTCATCTGTTGTACAGGATTGCTAGGAAATTAAGCAGCAGCAGTTTTCACTTAGTGTTTTAGGAACAGAGGGTGCATTTTGTGTTCTTGTTTGCTCAGTGCACTTCTTGACCCCTCGGTGCATTTCTGTCGGCATCATGGGAACTTGCTTACCTGGGACATTTTGTAAGTGAGAAATGGGTCATGTTCAAAGTACCTGAAAAAAACAACAGTAAAGGTGTCTGACAACTTTTTCTTTTTTTCTTTTGCACTTGTTAAATAATATTTCATGGTGCATTAAGTGGGTTATGCAGCCTCTTCTGAAGAGACCACAGCAGCATATTGCTGCGTGTTCAGTGCTGTCGTCAGGCTGTTGGTTCTTAACTGGAGAAAAGCTGAAGGCAGCTGGAATCCCTTCCTGAGCCTTTCCTCAGTTTGTTCTGAATTCGATAAAAAATGGCAATAATTTGGGGACAGACATAGAAAGAAAAAATAAGAATGATTTCACAATAAGCCCCTTAGCGTGCCACTCGTGACCACAGGCAGATTTTAGAAGAGCTAAATCCATTCAACGTTTCTTTTCCAGAAGCCGAAATGTTTTCAGCCAAACCGATTTCTTGCCGGCAGCTTCGGATGCTGTAGCTGGAACCAGAGCAGCCCAAGGAGCGAAGCAAACAATTAAAACATTTACATGTTTGCTTCTTGATAGACATCTCTACGAGGTAGGTTTTAACGTTTTCTTTTTCCCTCTTAACTTTTTTTTTTTCCCTGTGGTAAGAAGGATAAGCTTGGAGTGCCCAGTCACCGTGGTAACTGCCAGAAAAATTCTCCTGAAGTTTGAAGGGGTCAGCGCGCGGGGTCAACAACTCTGGCCTCTCCCCGCGCTGGGGCTGCAGGCTCCGTCCCACGGCCGGGCCTTAGCACGGGCTCAGCCCTGGGAGGTGGGCCGCTCCCGCTCTGATATAAATTTTTTGAGTCAGTTCACGGCCTGGGCTCTCCAGGTGGCCTCCAAAATCGATCGTGACCTCGTGACCCTGTCTAACGGAGGCATAGCATCCAACCTAAGTAAGGATTTAGGCAGGAGCGACAGCTTTCCGCTGAGTGTTATTGGGGACAGTGCAAACAGTTTTGGAAGCGAGGAGGTAGGTATGAGGAGCTGAGGTCATTAAAGGCATATTAAAAAACAATTTTAAACATCCTCGTTAGTGGAAGGTTTGTATTAGCATTAACCATTCCTCAAATAAACCGTTCTGTCAAGGACCCTTTTTTTCTCCCTAACAATATCAAATCGAGCATGAACACAGGAGAAATGAGCACTTTATATATTTCAAACAAAACTCATATTTTGATTTTTAACTTATAAACCAAGGTGGCTGACGTGTGGTGAGACAGGCCCCTGGGAAGCACGCTTTTGCTTTAAGATCCTAAAACCCAGGAGATAGCTCATTAAAGCAGTATGTTTATTTTAGGGAGGAATATCTCTAATGTATGTGTTCTTTCTAGATTCAAGGAGCTCTTAATTGGTGTAAATTTATTTTTAAGCTGGGAAATCAAGTCACACTCAGAATGGAATGAAAGTAGGAGAGTTTCTCAGGCTTTGTTTGCTGATCTGTAATTCAAATGGACAAGCCACAGCTTTGGGTATACACGTTTTTGCAGAAGAAAATTTTCATCTTCCTAGAAGAGAATAGAGAAAATTACATTTTTCCTGTAAGATTTTAAGCAACAAACCATTGGGATGGGGATGAGGGTAGGCTGCTGCAGAGGCTTAATTTTTTAAAACAAATCTATAAACTTGTCCTCTGAGCAAGAGGATTTGCTGTCCTGGTTGATTATCAGCCCTGCAAGCCCCCAGCTCTGCACACCGTGCTCACAATCACAGTCACCAGGTGAGTAAGTGGAACTGCATGGAGGAGCAAAGTCCAGTCTCCAAGGAGGAAAATGCTCTCACACTATGAGTGACTTTAAAACTGCTCTGAAGGAAGAAAATTGCGTTAATGTTTGTTCCCAGTCTTGGAAAAATTATACAAACTTATCCCAGTGGGAATCCTGCCCAAAGACTTTTTGTGCTCCCTGTGCTAAACGGCATCGCCCGGCCAGGCAGTGCCATCCGCTGCAACAGCAAGAGCCTCTTGCTTGGACTGGGACAAAGCCTGGCTCTGCACAAAGCCCAGAACCGGGGCCGCCTGTTGGCTGAGGTTCTGCCTCTTAGGGCTGCCATAATCTGCCCGTGGGGGTTATCTGAAGAGCAGGAGATGAATTGGTACTAATAAGAGGGGCAGAACTGTGCCCTAAATAATGTGAGACCCAGACTTACATATGCACATCATCATGTATGCACTTACATACGCATGTCAGTGACAACACTCACTCTAATTCCATCCTCACTACTGCCCATAGTTTGTTGCTGTTGATTTTTGATAGAACTGTACTAAAACCAATTTATTTGCATTAGCAAGCATGTTAGTTCAGGGGAGTGCCCTCAATGACTAAGCTTGGCAAGGCAGAGCTCGCAGTCCTTGATGAGGATCAGCATCAGCGTATTTGCTTGGTTTTCAGAAAAAGCATTTAAAAATAGGAATTCTGAGCAGCTGCAAGGTGAATCCTCAGTGGTTTCAAAAGCAACTGCAGAATTTTTAGCAGCTTTACTTACTTATTTTTTTATTTTAAATATTCATATTTCCTTTGTAAAGTGAGCATACAGTTCAACCTGACAGGCAGGGTGGTTGATCCAACCATCTAAAGCAGAGAATCCAACCATTGCACTGGAACTTTGTAAAAATTACCCCAAACTTTCTCAAAAGACTTGGGAGGAGGAATCATTAGCAGAGGGAATAACAAGAGATCTCGAGACCTTTTACTTGTTGCAAATTCTTTTGAGCTGAACACTGTAGATCCTGTCCAATTTATAATCAACTGCAGGTGCACAAAAGCCACCTTGAAAGAGGCCTCTGGGTTTGCATCTTTTGTAACTCTTTGCCTTTTTTTTTAATTGTTCATCTCATACAGCTGGGATGTGGTGTGTGTTGGTGGTTGCTGCAGTGGGATTGCTCATCTTCTTTGGCCACTCCAGATCTGGGAAGTTCTCACTCCCAATCATTTGATTCCATTAAATACCTTCTGAAGTGCAGGCTGCTTTCATTTGAACAGAACGATATACATGAATGGGCTTAGCACAGCGTTAGGGACGAGCAGTCGGAATCAGCAAGGGCGCTGAGCTGGTGGTTCCCAGCCTCTATCATATGGATCACTGCTAATCCATGGGGCCTTGGTGAGTTTGCTGCAGGTGGTCTGTGGAACTGTATTAAATAATAACGCTCATGGTCTTCAATTAAAATTTTGATGAGAAGAGTGTGTGGCAGCCCGCACTCAAGTCTGACAGCTGAGAGTGATCTGCCGACCTGAAAGGTCTGAGGATGCCTGTTTTGCGGGACTGTGTCTCAGCCTGTGGTCCATCGGCAGCAGAAAATATTTTCAAATGAATTACGTGTGTGTAGCAAATGAGCATGCTTTCTCACTCAGGCAAGCAAGCAAGCAGAAGAAAAACAAAACAACAGCAATAAAAAGCACTTCAAAGCAAAATGAAGAAAATAAAAACTACAAATTAACACTGAAGCCTGAGCCTAGCTGGTGTTTGTTTTTGTATGAAAACCACATTTCCAGTGCTGCTGAGTGGGAAGCGCTACTCAGCCAAGAGCAGGGATGGAGAAGCTCTGCATTCACTGCAGGAAGCAGTGAGGGCAAGTGGGCAGCTGGGCTGACAGGTGTGCTGCCAGGAGATGCCGAATAAGTGCTGCACTTCCTTCTCTTTTTCTTCACCTCTCCTCTCTGCTTTAAGTGTGTGCATGGCTGGCACGCAGAGGGAAAGTCAAACTAATTCTGATGCTTTTCCCTTTTCTGGGCAGACTAAGTCAGAGAAAGCTCTTAGGGCAGTCTTTTTGGAAGGGTTACAATGTAGGTTGATACTCCAGGAGCTATAGGAAGTTCTTAATCCTTCACTGCCTACGGGATTGTCACTTATAGACCTGCTTTTGTCTCATCTCTTATAAGGATGTTTCCTTACATTAAGGCTTCCAAGAGCAAACAGACTTAGCCATTGTTTGCAGCAATCTCAGCTTGTGGCTTAATGCACATCTAATATTTTGCTTCTGCTTTCACTACTCTCCTACACAGCAGACTGTACCTACACACTGGTTTAGGGGACATCATTCTGAAAATATTCATTCGAGCGTTTCATTTCTTTTTCCTGATTTGTCTTCACATCTTTTGCATTAGCCTCATTTATTACAGGTAATGTGGTAAAGCATGAGGAACTTTATGTGTTTAGTTGCTCATTTCATGTTTAGTTCTCAGTTGAAGAATAGCCACATGAATACACTTCCTTCTTGTAACAAAAACTTGTAAGCGCTAAATTTCCACCAGGTCAAATGCTTTATTTATAATCTAAATTAAAGTATCTCTTACCGTATAATGGGAATGAAGCTGGCCATGAGCAAACAAAATGGAAGCGCAGATTATTTTGATTTTGTACAATTTTGCTTGAGGTTAGCTGAAATAAAGGCAGGTGATGTGGTGACAGGATGATGTTTTGCCTTCCTGCTCTGCCTTGTGTGTGTTACAGACCTTCTCTAGAGCTCAGCACTGTGTCTATAAAATAATAATAATTTCACAAAGTACTTTTTTATGCCTGAAAGTTTTGCTGTCTGCAATCACTGGTGGGCAGAGTACACAGGGACGTGTGATGCGCTCCTTCCTGATCCCGATTTGCGCTCTGCTTAGCAGTTCCTCTTGCTGTTTAGTTGCTCGTGTAGTTTCCAGTTATGTAACCCATCTCATTTTGTGGATATGTGAATTTAACAGCTGTCATTGTCAGCAGTGCTGGTGTGGTTTCTTTTTTTTTGTTTCTTTTTTTTTTTTTTTTTTTTTCTTTTTTGGCAAGCTGGCATTACTCATCAGTCTCATGGCAGTTTTGTTTGAAAAATGCTTGTGCTAGAAAAAGTGGATTTATCAGCTCAGCACTGTATGGTGCTAGCATGCAGCACAACAAAAGACAAGTGCTCATTTCAGTAACGCTTGCAGCATTTCATGGGGCCCCCAAATAGGCTGAACAAGGCTTCTCTGGCAGCTAAACTGAAGTACAGTGGGAAACTGTTAAAGTGGCAGTGTCACTGCCTGGAAAACGGCCTCTGTTTTCTCCCATCAGTTATCTCTGCTTTCTGTGTTGTTTGTTTGTTTGTTTAAAAACTATTTACTGCAGTAGGAATTTCATTGAATATTGGAGAAAGGAACTCCAATAAGTGTTTTTGGTTTTTTTTTTCTGTTTCTTGGAGCACAGACCAAGCTGTCAGTCTGTCCTTCTCAAAGTGGCTCTGTCGTGCAAGGAAAAACAAGACACTTGTCTTTTACAAGTAATACTATAAAGTCAGTCCTGTTGCAGCCCTTCAAGGAGATCTCAATCCCTGTTCAAAGCACTTTTTTTTCAGAATGTTTGCCACACTTCCAGTTTCTTTCAGAGCTGCTCTTCCAGAATGCAAATACAACTTGCGTAGTGTTCTATATTTAATTGAATGTATCAGGTGGTTAAAATAATGTTTTAAAAACAGTATTACATACTGCAAATATGTCAAACCCTTTGTTCACAGACATTTAAAACAAATGCATTTTTCAGTATTTATTTATTGTGTCTGATTGCATTCCATACAGATAGGGAAGATAAACGAGTGAGTTCCATTTTGACTTATAACTTGTCTTGTACTTTTTCAGGCGAGATTCTATGAAGCCTGAGTGACTTCAGAAGGAGAAACTTATTAGAAGAAATCTTTGCCATTATATGTATAGTAAGTCGTGTGTGTGTGTGCTCCCATGTGTGCTTGTGCTCCATACAGTGCTGGGCTGCATGAGAGGAATGGGCGCATGCAGTTTGATTTCGTTTTGCTCACCATGAAAAGGGACAGCTGCAGCACGCTGACTGCTTTCTGAGATATCAGCTGCCAGATAGCCTGTAACACCTCAGCCAGAGGCACAGGAACCTCTCCATAAGTGCAAGCCGACCTGAGTCCATACCTGCACATACAAGGTGCAGATTCTTTGGATTCCACACCTGTAGTGTGGTGTCCACAAAACAGCAGCAGCAGCAAAGCAGTTACCACTGTGTGGTAGCCAGCAAAGTTGGCTGTGATTTACTCATCCGAGCTCATGCCTGTCTGAGGACAGCTGGAGCTGGTGATATGTTTGCCTTGCAGTACCCAGAAAACTGGATACCTTTTGGAATGGTTCTGAATGGTTACACACAAATTGGAGACATTGGTCTCCTGGTAGACCAGGCAGAAATAACACAGCAATATGCCTCAGGGAAGCAAGGAAGTTGTTTAGGACTTCCTCTTCCCTCAGCAAGAACAAACCTGAAAGCCATAGAGGGGGAGGCTGGGGAACCAAGCTTGGCTGAAGATCTCTCATCACTGACACTGCCATGCTCCCATCTCAGCCTGCTGGAGAGTGGTGTGTCCTTCGTGACTCACTGTACCCTCATGATCGCATCTCATCTTCTGGTGCCTGGCTGAGCACAGAGAGCCAGTTATGCTCAGTGTAAGATGTCATCACAACAAGCAATTGGAAAGGCCAAGGAAAGCTGAAATCCGTGGCTGTGAAGATGGGGGTGGCTGTTTCACTATGAGATGCAGAAGAACTATTTCTCCTACACCTACCGCAGCCAGACTGCAGTTGTTGAGTTGAGTGACAAGGAAATGGGAGCCTGGGATGTCTCAGCACAAGCTTCCCTAAGCCTTGACTTGATGGGTGAGCACCTGAACACAGCCAGAGCCTGTTACATTAAAGGCTTTATAAAAGCAACAGTGCCAAGCTAACATCCACCTCCCACGTTACCGGCAGCCCCAGCAGGTGTAACGCGATCCAGCAGTCGCAGCTAGCAGATAAACAAACGGCCTTTCTGCACAGGTTGTGCCAGAGAGCCTCTCCCAGCGGGGGATTGGGTTGGATGTTGTGCTAGGTCAGTGAGCTGCTATGGAAAGAGCTGTGACAATGGACAATCTCATGGGGCTGTTGTCCTTTTTCCACACAGGATTTCCCTCAACACCTAACGCAAGACAGCAGAAAAACTGTTGGGGGAAGTTTCTCTACCAGGCCTCTGAAGTTCAGTGGGATTGGGCTCTCCGTGAGAGCCTACTGCTGGATTTCCCTAGGCCAGAGGAAAAAACTTCAGAGCTGCCAGGCCAGCCAGCAGCACTGAGTGCTGCCCACCAGAGCTGCTTGCCTGCTCTGCCATTGGGGCCCATGTCCAGTAAGCGATATTAACTGAAGGGCATCCTACTTGGCTACAACATATCTTCCTTCTTCACTGTCAGCAGCTAAGCTGCCAGCTGTGGTGAATTTCCCTTATTCCACAGCTGAGGTAATAATGAAGCAGGGCCTGCACCTTGTGTACTACATTGGGCCTGGTGGTGTGTGGGCACACGGCTCCACACCACACCAAAATGGCGTCCATCTGGTACTGCCCCACAGCATGTGGGCACACCATTCCGTACCAAAATGGCTTCCATCCTGCACTGCTCTGCAGTGTAAGGACACTCCACAACAAAATGGCGGCTCTCCAGAACTTCCCTGCAGTGTGTGGGCACTCCACGCCAAAATGGCGGCTATCCAGCACTGCCCTGCAGCATGTGGCACTCCACACCACACTAAAATGGTTATCTGTCCTCTGCTGCCCTGCAACGTGTGGGCATACCGCAGCAAAACTGTGTGTGTGTGGCAGTGTTTCTGCAGTATATGGGCACACCACACCTAAATGGTGGCTGTCCAGCATTGCCCCACAGCATCTGGCACACCACACCAAAATGGCGGCCATCCAGTACTGCTCCCCTGTCCCTGCACCTCAGCTGGGTCTCATCCTACCCTTAAAGCCTCCCCCCTCCCTGTTCTTGCTCCAGTTCCTCATGAGTTATGATAACATATAAGCAGCTTAGGGAATTCTTATCGGAATGAGTTGAACACAATGCGACGTTTAACTCTTAATGACAGCCACCTCTGACTGAGTGACACATTATAAATTATGTTTGAACTGGGTGTTTTTTTTCAGAGGCAGATATCCCCCTGCCACCCAGCCAGCCCTGCGAAGTTGCACTTGTGGCCTTAATCCCACTTGGATGTGTGCCCCGCTGCCTCCACTCTCCGTCACTCGGGTGCTTTAGTGTTCTTGAACAAGTGAACAATCTTTGTTTCTGTACCTTATTAGGCCAGAGACCATAGCAGCGAGCGATGGCATCAGCAGGCCCCGCAGGCAGGATTCTCTGCAGACGCAGCCAACCTCCAACAAACCCCTTTTTATCCTCCTGTTTCTAGGAAGAATTATGATGGTGGTGCCCTGCTGTTGATCAGTCAAATCTGTGGTGGGCCTAGAGATAAGTCCTGTAAGTGTGGTGTACTGTAAAACAGCGGCTCCCATTCATTAGTGGCTTGTGTGTAATAAACCACCCAATGGAGGGGGATGGGGAAGAGAGGGAAAGAGCAGCTGCAGTGTGCAGGAACAAACAACACAACTCATTCTTGGGAGCCAAAACTTTCTAATTTGCTGCTGGGCTGCTGGGAGCACTCAAATTCTTTCTGATAATGTGCTCGTGCCCTCGGTGTCTCTCTCTATGTTTCTGCTCTCCAGAATCTGGAATAGTTTCACTCCAAACAACAAGTGTGGACGCTGCTGAACAGGGAGGAGGAGGGGAACACAGCCACCCAGTGTTTGCAGACTCCAGCACAGCAAAGTGGTGGACTCGAGGCAAGTTCTGCCATGGAATGGCTGCTGCACGTATCTGCTTGTGCAGTGGGTAAACAAGGCATCACATGGGCTGCAGGCTGAGCACGAGGCGCGTGGCTGACCTATACGTGTATGAAGCATGCCGGAGGGACAGCGTATTCCAAACGTTGTTAGAGCCTGGTGGGATATTCGGGAACTTCCCTCAAAAAGCTCAAACAAAACAAACGTCAAATTGATTGTAACTGAAAAATCATTTGGCTTAATTTCTCCTGTTTTTCCACAATTTCCAGTGAGTATTTACATAAGCGTATTTCTACGTTGCCTTGCATTGGAAATGGCTTGTAAGTATGTTCATCAAGATGTCAGTCAATTATAACTTGTTGCACCTGTTTGGACCTCAGTAGTTACTAATTGTAACTGTGGATTTTCAGCTGTGACTGTGCTGGTGCTCAGCCCCAGACCTGACTGCCCATAGGACAATATTTCAAACTAGAAATTAAAATCACTGTGTGTGTTTCACAACTGCTCTCATAGACCAAACCTTTGTGCTAGAGCTTGTACTGTCACAAGAAAGGGAAATTGATTTTGGATTGATGCTGCTCAGAAGGACCATTATACCCTTGCAGGATCACACTGACTGCTTTTTCAGTGATGTGCCAGGCTGTGATGGTGCTTGGACTGTCTCCTAACATTTCTATAGACAAGGGCTACTTAAACAGCAACTTCAGGCTTGGGCCAAACTGCAAGTACTCTTTATGTAGACAGGCGAAGTGTCAGACACAAAGTTTTTCACTTTAGTGCAGGAGATCCACTCGCTTTCTCTTCCCTGACCTGGAGACCTGTGCCAGGCATTGCCTGAGTCTTAACCCTTCAATAGGAGGTGTCTCTCTGACACCTTGGCCATAGTACCTAATGGGTGCAGGTAATGGGTGGCCAGTCAGACCTGGCCAAATCCTGTGCTAGATCTGAGCACAAACCAGTTCTACCAAAGGTTTAGGCAGTGAAGGAGCTGAAACTGGTTGCTCACCTGCCAAGCTGTACAAGGCCAGGATGAGGCCCAGCCCTACAAGCTCTGCTTGTAGCATTTTGGTATTTCTGATAAAGTCATTTGGCATTTTGATTTCCCCATGGGACAAACAGTGGGACAATCTAAAAATAATAAATAGGCTTCCTGCACAAATACCTTGAATCAGTGGAAGCTGATGTTCTGTGAGTTTGCTGTGAATCTGTTACTGCTTTTATATTTTCATAAGGATGTAGTCTAACCATTGTTGGACAGAGGTAAACATGAGTAACCCAGTTTTGTTCTTACACTTGGGACACTGCAAATAGCTCAGAAGTCCTGAAGTTTTTGTGTCTAACCAGATGAAACTGGGGGAAATGAAATATTTCATACTAAACTGAGGCAAAATGTGCTTTACTGGTCTATAAGGCAGTCTAATAATTTTGGGTTCAAAGATGTCTAATGTTGAATTATTAAATGACTCAATCTAGTTTTCTTTAAGAAAGGGTGAATTAGTGATACTAATCTATCAGCTGGATCCAAACCATTACAAAAACTGTCCTAGAAAATAGAATGAGAAGTAGACCAAAAACTCAGAACTCAGTCTTGCAAATAAAATAACATTTTGTGACTGGTTGTTCACTAATGCATGTGAAAGAAGGGCTACATGTTACATGTCTTTTGTTGTTGACAGTGTGCCCAATGCTGTATGATAAATGTTTGAATAGTATCACCTTCTGTTCTGCCTCCTTCACCTACAGGAGCAGCTGTGGTGGTGAAGGGGCAGCGTGAGGCACTGCCAGCCCTGACTTCCTGCAGGTGTCCATCCGGCACCTGAACCTCGGGCAGCACCGCGTCTGTGTCCTGTGCCTGGAACCATGCAAGAACAAAGTTTGTTCTAAACGTGAATTTAATGTGCTTTCAGGTTTGACAGCCTCTTTTAAAAGGAAACGTTTAAGTTGAGCGAAAGGCACATTTGTCTCTCCAAATAAATGGAATTATGGTTCAAAGATCTGACTTAATCCCGAGGCTCTTGCACTGTGCAGTAAGTAGGAAAGAAAGGGGATTGCTCCGAGGAGCAGGGGTTAGCAGGATCAGGGGCTGTTTTATATCATCTCATTTTCCTTCTGGTGTTTAATATACTTTCTTCTCAACTTGCACTGGCTGCTTGTAAAAAGACCCAGCAGTATCATACATTAACTAATGGCAAATAAACTATTAATTGAAACTAATGAAGGATGGTACAAGGAGTTCCCATCCAGCTTTCCTGCTAGGCAAATTTGATTATTGTTAAGCAAACAAAAATGCCATTCTTCCAGATGTATTCTCTCATATGGTTTCATCCTTTTTCAGTTCATTTCAGGACTTTTCTCAAGTGCATTTTACTTGTTATAACTATTTGCTCTTTTTCTACTTAAAAAAAAGAAAGTATATACAACTGTGTTTTAAAATCTACATTGACATTTCAGTGATTTGAAGGAAGATGTTTACACAGTAACAGTGCCATCTATATTCATTGTATCTCTGCAAACAAAAGTTCTGATAAAATTAAAATATGTATGTGATGGGTTTTGTGTGTTTTAATGACATCTGTATGTTTCTAGTTACGATTTCGGTGCCTGCCCCCACATTACCTGGCTGGTTAAGGAAAGTGAGATCAATATTCTTACTTCTCCAACGTGTCATTTTGTTCATTAACCCCAGTGCTGCTGGCTGCTCTCTCTGAAATCAGTGATTTGTCTTTGAGCTATTTCTTTTTCTGTCAAAGCCCTGAAGTGCCTGTATTCCAGCTGTGGCTGCATTTGCGGGACATGCTAACATGGAAAGGAGGAGCACTGTACTTAAAGGGAGCATTCGAGAAGAGTCTCCAGCGAAGATCACAATGAAGAATGAATTTTATTGTGGCAATTTCCTTCATGGGCTGCAAAAATATGTGGACAGAGATTTGGATAAGCTTGATTTCAGGCCAAAACCCTCTTGTGTGGAAAAAATACCCTAAAAAATCCTCCTTAAAGATGAGAGACAGTCCTGCTGCTGCAGTCTACCTGGCAGGCACTGTGTGCACTGCTGTAGTGTGACCCTGGGGGGAGTTCTGACCACGGCCTTCCATCTGCTGAGGCCAAGCTTTGTGTCCTGGGCGCTCTGGGGCTGCTGCTTGCTGCTGGTGTGGGCAGCTGGGTTCTAGTGCAGTGTAACTGCATGACCCACTGCTATACACACCATTGGGAAATCAGCTTTTGTGACAGGGAACAGACCTCAATTTCCTAGAATAAGTCTATTATTAAAATATTCCCTACTTTTCTCCCTACCTTCCCCAAGCCATTCCAGCTAAAAGCTTCTCTAAGTGTGTGGAGGCAGCAGCGCTCACCTTCCCACTGTGTTTACATGGTGACTGCCAAAATAAACCTGGATGGAGGGACCCAAGCTGTCCAGAGGCGTCAGAAAGCTCTTGGCCACCTGGGGGCTCTGACTGGGTTTGGGGAGACGCAAGAATACGAGCAAGTATCCCCAGGGCTGAAGGTGTATGGTGCTGAGGGCCTGTCCCTGTGAGCACTCGTGCATGGCTCAGTGTCTTGTCCATGCACTCTGGGACTCACTGTGCTCTGGAGGATGTTCAGTGACTGTGGAACGTCTGGCCCCAGAGCATCCCTCACTCTGGGACTTCAGGGGTGCACAGCCCCACTACACAGCGTTGCGTTTGAGTTCATTGTTCATTTTTAGATGTGTTTAGTCCCCAAAGCACCTCCTGTGATGCGCTGCTGACAAATATGGGACAAGAGTGGATGAGGGATTGCTGTGCTGGAGAACTACAGCCCTGGAGCTGAGGATGGCAAAAGGAGGGAGGTAGGATGTTGCACCTGTGTGACTGGCAATCACAAGGCACAAGTGGGGCCATGTCAGACTTTGTCCCAAGGACTCAAACACTGCCTTCCAACACTCATATCCTTTTTTTCTTCTTAAAAAATAAAAAATAATGTACTTTAAAAAAATTTGGTTTTGCTCAGCCACGTGCTGCTCCATCCCAGCACAAAGCACAGCACAATGCACAGCACAATGCACAGCCGTGCACAGCGCCTGCCTGGGGGAATTCGGGGCATTTCGCAGCTTTCAGGCACAGAAACAAATTGTGAACTGCGGCGTTGCATCCATGTGTGAACACACACGCAGCCACCAGCAGCTGATACTTCACACTAATCACTCTTACAAATGCCTCTAATTAGACTCATAAATACCTCTAACTTTCCTACAGGGAGCAAAATGCCCGATGGGCTTCGTGAAAAATCTGGGGGCAAAGAAAGAGTTAAAAAGATGAGTAAACCCGTTTTTAAACCTGGCACGTCCTAGAGCGGTGCTCTTGAAAATCCAACAGGAATCCTAAATTGCGGAGCCCTGCACCCCCCGGAGCCGCAGCGTGGGCAGATTGGGGGCGAGCAGCCGGGGGAGGGGCTGCAGCCCTCCGCCTTTGTACCGGAGGGAGAAACATTGGGATCCTGCGGCGAAGGAACACAGAAACCCTCAAGGCAGAGAGAAATAGGCGCAGACAAAAGCCCGTTACATGGTTGCAAATCACCCCACTGCTGTTATTTTATTTACAGCTGCCGGCAGGAGGATTGTTTTCTCTTGCAAAAATTTAAGCTCTTTTTTTTTTTTTTTATTCCTACTTTGCTTTTTTATTAGTTTTTTTTTATTATTATTATTATTTTGTTTTGTTTTGTTTTTTTTCCTCCCTCTCAGCCACTGACCCCACAGTGCAGTGAGCCCAGTGCCCTGGGTGCTGCTTTGGGGAACCCTCCTTGTCCCGGGGTGCATGGGGGATCATGCTCATGGAGCAGCGGGAAACTTTTCCTTCTGCCCTTTTTTCAAGGAAATTCTATATTATTATTGTTACTGAGAGGGTGTAAAAAAGAGAAACAAAGCCCGCTGGGGCACTGTCATTGTTGTGTGCTTGTTTGGGATAAACGCTCACCTTTCAGTGTTCAGGTGATGCCTTCATCTCCCCCAGCCTCTGAGCGTGTTTCAGTTGGTGACTGTTGGAGTTCAGCCATTGATGAATATGAGTCCTCAGCAAAAACAGTGCAGGGGTCCCTTCCAGCTCGGGATATGCTGTGATTCTGTGCTATGAAAGATTCTCTGGCATGGGTCTGGGTTTGCCAGTGCTTCTCCCACCTTCAGCATCCATAAAACCCCACTGGGACATTATCTGCCCAGCACGTGAATGTATCATTGAAGTAGTCAGGGAAGGAGGGAACACCAAACTTGCCCATGTCCCCGTGGCAATGAAGTGGTTCCCATCCTTGTAAATGGTAGTTAGTGGCCACAACAGCCACAGGGGATGTGGAGGGAATGGGGAAAACCCCTGCCAGCTGCTCGAAGGAGCTCCTGAGGTGTCTGGACAGGTAATTAGTGCCTGGGCTGCAGGATCCCTCCTGTCATCCTGCCCAGCACATGCGAGGAGCAGCAGGGCTGGATTTTTGATGGCTGATTTACCCCGAACAAAGGCCCCAAACAACACTGAGCGCCCGACTCAGAGATGGAAACTTTAGAGCCAACGGGCTCCTTTCCCATCAGTTAAAAGTAGTGTTATTTTTTTCTAAGCTGATAACATTTTAAACATTTTGCGAGACAGTTTTCTTGGGAGGCAGAGAAACCTGTGGGTTTGCTATAAAAGAAACTTCTGTGGATAAGGAAATGTTTCCTGTGAACTCACCTGTTGCCAGCCAAGGAGAAATGTTTGGTGTTTTATTTCAATCAAGAATTTGCTGCTATCTGGTGCTTTATCTAACCTCACTCTTTGGAAGATTTGATGTCACGCTTGGCAGAGCCCTCAGATCCACACGGCTTTATGGTGCTGCTCTGCTAAAACTCCTCATGCGTTGGCGTACAATTGAAAATAAAGCCTGAAATCCTCACAGAATGGGCAAACATGGCCCAAATTGGGCTTGAATTTTTAAACAGGAGTTGATATAAGCACCTCTGTGCAACTCTCCCAGTGTCTGAGCAGTGCCAGGCAGTGCTATTTTCTGCATAGGAGAGGTCTCTGCCACACAACCCCTGGTTTTATTGTGTGTTGTATACTGGCCCTTACCATTTAACTTTATGTAGAGACTGGTGTTGAAGGGCAGCCTTAGCTTCTCAGAACCTGTATAACACCAATGGCTGCATGGGCCAACATCTGCAGCCATTTTGGCCTTTGTGCCACCTCATTTACAGAGGTCACCATCAGGTGGAGTGGGATACCAACAAGTAAGCCCATGCTTCAACCACAATGGACTATGTATTTTTTTTCAAGTAAATACTGCTTTTGTGGGGCAGCATTTGGGGCTGCCCATTGCCTCAGATGGTGGCAGGTTCCAAGGAAGGTGCAACAGTGAGCTCCAGAGACCCCTCCCAACCTCTCTAACTCCATAACAACAGCCAGCTGGGACGCAGCCTCTGATGTGCTCACAACTTGACCCAGCCTGGCTGCCTGCTGTAGCGCTGAAGTTGCCCACAATCAAGGTGAATGTAAGATTACTACTAACTAACTATTTCATTGGGTGATACGCAATGTGGTCCTGTTACTCCTAATTATGAGTGTGAGCACTTTGTGCACAAGGTGTAGCATGTGTTCTGGTTTCAGACACTGAGGCCTTACTGCTTAGTGCATCACCCAAGGCTACACATAGGTAACCTTTTCTGCAGTGCAAAAGCTGCTTAATTGACACAGTAGGGCCCAGCTGTGCCTGTAATTAGTTTAAAAGTTGTGCCACCTGTGTGCTGGTTGCCTCTCTTTTTGAATCTGTTTGGTGGTCAGCAGTTGCTGCTTCTTCTTCTAGGTAAGGTTTTTTTTTTTTTTTACTTTTACTGTTGTTTTTATTTTCAAAGTACTTTCAGAAATGCAGTTTGTTTGTTTTTTGGGGAAAAGGGAAATATATATCTGCTTGAGGAGAGGGTTGGGCGTGTAATGAGGGCTGTTCTGCAGGAGGTCGGTTGGTTTGTTTAACGTTGCTGTTTGTGTGCTGTGTGACTAAGTGTGCTTAAATCTGCCGGTTCTTCTAAAACAATTTGGTTTAAGTGGCAAGTTTGTGTTGAAGCTGGGAACAATGTATTAAGCTGCAAATGGCTACTAAGTGAATTCTGTGCTGGGAAAGCAAGTGTTCTTCATCTGGGAGGGGCAGTGCTGTGTTGTTACTAACTCTGAGTAAGGTAATGTTTGCTGCTTTGGTAACATCTAAACTAGCATCTATGCCTAGGCTTGTACTAGTGTCTAGTACTGTACTAGTACTACACTAGTACTGTGTCATTGCCCTCCGTGGGAACGGGCTGTGCTGTAGAAGACTGCTAAGAGCAGTCCCCTACCCCAAGGGAGGGCTGTGGGGATGGTGGAGATGAAGTCAGCATCTTGCCCCAACTCTCACTGCAGTGCTCCTCCACACAGCTCTGTGCTGGGCACCAGGCAGCCATGTGAATGTGTGAATCAGGGCCGTATGAAATAAGGGTGCCTGTCTTTCCTAGCAGCAGGGAAGAAACTAAAGAAAAAGAGTTGTATTAAGTGCAGTATGTGAGCTGTGGTGGGCTCTTCATCTATG